GTTAAAGCATCTGATACAACTGAACCAGAAGAAACAAACCAAACTCCATCAAATTCCTCAACAATTGATGATGATAATATAATTATATCTGACTCCAATACAAACCAAGAACTTCCTAATATTAACCAAGATACTGAAAACCCTATTTCTGAACCAGATCTAAACCAAATTTCTGTTACTTTACTTTCAACAACCTCCTATAGCCCTTTTTAATAATTTCTTCTGTAGAATTTATAAATGCAGCTACTGTTCTAAGATAATGATGTTCTCTACATTCAGTAGACCATTCTTAGAAGAGAATGATGTAAGTAGATAGGTGGATAAGTCCATTTACATAGAGAACTAAGATAACAATGATCAAACTTAATGTACAAGGCAGGCTATGGTACTCTTTGCAGCTGTGAAAACTAAGCTTAAAATGGTATGTGATCTTACAGTAGATACACATCCCAAATCATTATTAATATTATTAAACTCCTATAATTTGAACATTTGCTATAACAAATTTCTTCAACATTATCATCTTCCTCTACTACACCTTCAATCTACTATAAAAACTTTCTTTCAATATTTACAACAAATCAACTCTATATACTTATTAAATGCTTCAATGATAATACTAAAAACAAACAAAATGGAAGCTCACATTTATTCACTACATGAGCTTACTATTCTACCAAACCATTACATTTCTTTTACTACAGTACCAGACAGTAAAAGATATCCAATATAATTGGCTTACTATAAATTGTTATAACTTAAGAACAAGACACCATATCAAAAATTCCTCTGACAAATCGATAGTTCTTAAGTCAAGCTACAATTCTGTCAGAAAATTTTTATTTTAATTAGTTTTTAAAAAGTTATAACTGGTCAAAGATTACCAATTTTCATAGTAACTTCAAAAATTGGCACATATATATAACATAAACAAATCATGCACTCATGTTTTCATTGGCTAAAATTTTTTACTATAAAGTTCTAATCCAGCTAGTGTTTATCTGAATAATTATCAATCTGTATTTATTCTGGATAATTATCTGAATATCTGTTAGATTATCCTAATATCAATAGTAAATGGATATTAGGTATGGATAAACAAATAATGGATTTATCCAGATTGGAACTCTATTTTACTAGAATAAATTTTAGCAAATTACTTAATGTATACAAGTTTCTAAGATCTGGTAATTACAATTCGAGCCATTTATTCAAACCAAATGATGCAATAATACTAGTCAAACTTTGGCATATCATATATAATGTGATGATATCCAATTTACTAAAACTCAGATGTAATATCAGATATATTTGTAAAGTCATAACTTTTATAACACGATCTTGGATAGATAAATCTTTTAATTAACCTCATAGTTACCGATCCACTTAGGGATGCTATTGTCTCACTTGGCTTTGTTGAATAATTGGCTTATATAATAGCTAAATATACAAGCCAGGTGAAACCAATAACATCTCTCAATTCATGTCTGCTTTTGAACTCAAGAAACCCAGAATGTGCTAAGTCTCAATGGCTCATGCAAGATTAGACATTACAATAAAATTGCTTTTATTCTTTTGCTTTGCTACAGGTTCTAATATTCTCAAGTTTGCATATATGTGGAAAAAATTTGTAAAAAATACAATGGCCACTAATTAATCAAACTAACCTTATATCATATCTATTTAAACACCATTAGTAATGGTGACCAAATAAAATGAATTTAGTTTTGAGTATGCTTTAAATGAAATGTTAATAATGACTTAACTTTTAGACCATGTCTAATAAAAAAATTATAGACACATAATAGGTAAGGGTGCCTAACGCCTAGTTTAAAAATGCCAAGTACAGAAACCTGGTGCCTGGTCCAAAAATGCAACCAATACCAATATACATGGCATGTGCATTTACAGATTTCTAATCTGAACCAATCCGGTATTCTTATTATAAGCTACCTCAGAGACAAACCATAAGTAAAAAATAAGAAGTTTCTAATTGGCATTAATCTGCATAATCTTATATATGATACTTTGTGCCAATTCTTAAAGAGCTAATGGCAAACTTAATTTTGTTTACGAACCTTGATGATAATCATAATAAAAAAAAACTTTTAAATAATCTTCTTTGCTGTATTTAATCATATATATAATGATTTTTTTACTAAGTAAACTAAAATAGATTATTGATTTTTTTTTATAAATATAAAATAATTAAATAAAATTTTATGTAATACTTATCTGCAATATATCATGATCATTACTTTAAAATTAAGTAATATTTTTTCAAAATAACTCTTATTTATTTCTTAACATAAGTACCTTTTCATTTATGCTTATTTTGAAAATTGACTCATAAAAATTATATGCGAATAATTTATAGGGACTCGAGAAAATGTACCAATAGGCATTGCTTTGAAAAGATATATCACTATTAAAAAATTAAATAAAGAATTTAAGCAACAATATATAATGTTTAAGTAAAAAATTATAATAAAAGGGTGTCTTCTGTTAAGTAGGTCTTCGACCTATGTTCTGGTTTGAAATAAATTATCATTTTTAAGAATTTGTATATCCACGATAACACTATGCCAAAACCTTCTGTTCTTAAAAGGCAACAGAAAGAAAAAATAAATACAGCTCGTTTCATTTAGCAAGCAGAAAATACTATACAGTCTAAAAATCTTACTGACCTTAGTTCAAGTAAGGAATATGAAAGTAATAACTCTAATGGGGATGACAATTCAGATAATGATTTTGTAGATGAACTAGATAATAATGAGAATGCAAATTCTATAATTGACCATTTTTGTGCAGCTTTAGAAGCTAGTTTTAAAAAAAAGGGACAGCCAAAATTATATACTAGGCTTTTTGCAAGAACTCATCAAAGAAAAAAAAAAGTATTAAAAGAAGCTGCAGTATGAAGTTTAAAAATTACGAGTTTTTTTGCACTACTAATACTTAGCCATAGGTCACTGACAATGAAGAAGATATTGAAGACCATGGTTCTTCTGAAAGAAAATACGATAATGATAACTTAGAGAATGATAATGAATCAGATAATAGTGGTAAATCATAGGATGAAGAAATTTTGATTAATAATGCTATTGAATTTGTAAACAAAATAATAAATGAAAAAATACTCTCAAAAATGCTCTTAAAAACTGAAAACACTCGGTATACATCAGTTATTTATTTTCTTCAATTGCTTCTAGATGGGCAAGGAACAATAGAGGCATCAGAAACAGTTGCAAAAGTAATTAATTATAGTCCATGGCTTGCAAAATGTATTAGAAAATAGGCAAATATTTGTATAAAAGAGGAATTAATTCCACCAAGTCTAAAAGAAAAATTGCCTACCAAAAGCCTACTTCATGATAAATTTGTATCTCTTTATTTGGCTTCCTATCTATGAACTCAAAAGTTCAAAGTAACTTCTGAACTAGTTAAAGATTATTATGATCAACATATTTTATCACAATTAAATATCAAACCTGTACAACATATTTCAGTTCAGGCAGCTCATCAGTAGATACATAAGCTTGGTTTTTACTTCTAACATTATCAAAAAGGTGTATATAGATAAAAGTAAAATTACCTTTCATACATAATAAAAAGTTTGTTAAAATTGTTAAAATTATTTGATAATATAATTATTATTGAAATTAATAAATTTCACTCTTATTCATAGGTATTTACATAGATGGACATGAGCGACTAGATGTCATTGCTTATCATCAAACCTTTCTTGAGGAAATTGCACAGCTTGATCAATTTATGTCTAAGTGGCTTGATCAAGATTGTAGGATAAGAACTTTTCCGTAGTTAAATAATGATGAAAAAGAGCATATATGGGTAACTCATGATGAAAGTACCTTCTATGCTTATAATGGACCATATTCTGTGTAGGGCCCAGTTGGAGAACAACTATTACAAAAAAAAGGATTGTGACCTAATGTGTATATAAGTGACTTTCTAACCGAAACAATAGGGCCTCTTAAAGATGATCAGGAAAAAGCATGAGTTATGATGGTATTAGGTGCCAACCGAGATGAATATTGGAATTCTGTAAAGCTTCTTGAACAAGTCAGAAAAGTAATACCTATCTTTGAGTGAACACATCCAGGATGTGTAGGCGTATTTGCCTTTGACAATGCCACTTCACATATGGCTTTTGCTGAGAATGCTCTTGTGGCCTTTAAAATGAATCTTAATCCAGGTAGTTCTGCTCCAAAAATGAGAGATACAATATGGAATAATGATTGTCAATCAATGATTATTGAAGATAACTATTTTATTTATGTTAAAAAAAAAAAAAAAAGAATTAATTTATGTGGTCAACCTAAAGGTAGGTGGCAAATATTTTTAACTCTAATTATTACTAGTGTTCGAAAATAGTGTTATCGAACATTGACTATTACCTGTTTTAAATCGGCAAAAAAATAGGGTAATTTTTTTTTTTTTTTTTACCATCTCTACTGAAAAAAATTAAGTAAGTTCTCACTAAAAGAGGATTATGGCAAGATGGTTAGTATTAGAGTGTGCTTTATGCAAGAAAAAAGAGACAGATCCTGATTATATTTACTGTTATGCATGTTGATTAATAGCTAATCAACCTGACTTTCTTGCAGAATGTGGTCAAATTCAAATAAAGATAGAGTCTAAAGGGCATAAAGTTATATTCTATCCTAAGTTTTATCCTGAATTCAACTACATTGAAATGTACTGAAGAGCAGCTAAAAAGTACACCCAAACTTATTGTGAATATTTATTACCAAAACTAAAAAAGTCAATTATTAAGGCATTCGACTCTATTTCCATAGATGAGTTCGTTCCTATGCTAGACTTTCATTTAGGTGGATGGATGCTTATCAGCAAGGGCTAACAGAAAAAGCAGCCAAATATGCAGTAAAGAAAATTAAGAAGCATAGAGCAGTAAATGAAGAGATTATGAACTGGGTTAATGAAGAGTTGTTAAATTAAGTTGTTAAAGTAAAAAGAAAGGAAGTTGGTAATACTTATCTTTATTACTAAAATAACATTCACTATTATTAGTCTAGAGTAAATTTACTCTTAAAATATTAAATAAAAAATCTAAATTTGTTTAGACTTCTAATATATAGTAATAAAACTCAATATTTTTTACATTTAGCTGCAATAGACAAAAAAAAAAAATTATGTAAAATAAAGATCATCTTAGTTATATATGTACAATAAGTTCCTAGCTAAGTTTTAAATCTATAAACAAATCTATAACATTAACTTTAAAATGCTTAACTAATTGAGTAAAGCCGGTTTAGACAGCAGTCTCAATTTACTAGTATTTAAAATTGAAACATACATGAAAGTCATTATCGTTATTAAATGAGTTAAAGATCTGAATTTATATACATACATATAATTGGATAGCTTTTACTACCCAGTAAAATTGGCACTTTTTAATAGTAATAGATTAGATGTCTTTTACTAACCAGCAAAATTGGCACTTTATATAAGGGTTGGATGTCTTTTATTATCTGGCAAAATTGGCACTTTATATAAGGGTTGGATGTCTTTTACTGTCTTGTAAAATTGGTGCTTAATATATGAATTGGATGTCTTTTACTGTCCAGTACTGTAATGATTTTCTTAATATATCTTTTAAATCTCAACCTAATTCTCAAACTGTTAATCATACATCTACTAATACTAAATTCAAATTACAAAGCAAATACAAAACCTCTATATACTTTAAAGCTGTAAACACAAATAATATACTCTCACCTAGATATACAATCACACCTTAGCCCTCCAACTCAATAAATAAAAATTTATAATCTACTCTTGTTATTAAACCTCTTAAGATATTAATCAGTACCTACAATGTTCGAGGCTATAATGAAGACCTTAAACAATAAATATGGGAGAACTTCTGTCTAACAAACAACCTTAATATAGTTAGCATTATTGAAACCTAAATAGCTAAAACAAATGCAATAACAAAACTGCAAAAATTAAAACATTTTATATATTACTGGTTATGCAGCAACAGTTCAAAAGCTGATACGGCAATTATGATCAATAACTGGCTCAAATTACACATCTACAAAATATATAACCTTTTTAATTATGCTATTGCTATTGATCTTTTCTTTAAACATGATTTCAAATTCCACATTATATCAGTATATCTATCTTGTAACAATATCCAACTTAGATTAACTGTTCAAAATACTGTTATTTCATGGCTCTAACAAGCCACAAGTTCAAACTTACAATCTATTATTCTGGGAGACTTCAACACTCCTGATAATAGTTTATATTCCTCTTTTATAAAATACAAATTACTGCATTTTCTTCAATATAACAACATGTATGACCTAGCTGCCTATACTCAATTACTATCCAATACTTGGCAAAGCAGCCGATTTTAAAGTCGAATTGATTACATCTGGGCAAACCTTTCAATTATTTGCTACCTTACCTTATACAATATTGATGACTTCAAAACTAGCACAAATAGTGATCATAAAATCCTAATTTCCTCTTGGTCCTTTCCCTATGCTCATTTTGACAAATAACATTCTGCAACCAAAACTCGAAAAAGAATATTTTTCTACAAAAAAATAAATGAAGAACTATGGCAATTATATACTGATTAAGTAGCTACTAATCTTAGTTCTAACTGTACACCTATAACTGTTAATACAACAGAATCCTTGGAAACAACATAGCACAAAATCCAAACCAGTGTTATCTTAGCTGCTCTCAAACATATTTCTAACAAAAAAGTCACAATGCATAACTTTTAACACATATACTCTGCCAAAGCTTTTTTTTTACATCATAGTCTTAAAAAGCTAGAAAACATAATCTGACAAATTAAAGCCTCATTACAAAATCAAACACCTATATCTATACAACTTAACAACATAATTCAACAACTGAATAATACTAATAATTTTACTATTCCTTCTTTATCAACCAGACATGACCTATTAACTAACTGGATTTTAAATACTAATGATGAGTGGAAAGCACTTTATCATGCACATAATATTGAAAACATTAAAATAATTAGACAACAAATTAATGAAAACATAGCTAAAAGATGTGATAAACTTCAGTCTTAACCAAAATCAATAATTAATAGCATATTAAATCACTACAAAGATTCTGTAAAGTTTGACAACATTAAAACAAACTACAATGTTGTTACAGAAGTACAGAAATTTAAAACACATATTCAACAACACTTCAATCAATAGACAGCACATAGACGAATTAATCAACAACTTTATAATTCTTCTTGGAACAATAAACATCAACCTAAAACAAACATTCACTCAGAATGGTATCAAAAGGTGCTAGCAGAATTTTTTGAAGAAGAAATCTCTAATACATTTGCAAAACTTCCAAATAATAAAGCCTGTGGCCCCTTAGGCATAAGCTATAAAATGCTTAAACATGCTGGTTT